AGGCGCTTTATCCCAAACGTGAAACTTCTCGAAACGAATTCAAATTTAATCCGGCCCTAACGTGTAAACGTGGGTGGGTCCCATTCACGTCCTTTTCTTCTCGGGCCCCACAACTCAACCATATTCTATGCAAAAAAGTATACAAAAGTAAGGCACCAGCATTTAGGTCTTGTGGTCCATCAATTATCACCAACGTGTCCTCAAATTTTAATTCTGTCACTTTCTTGTTATTGCACAGCTGGCCATTTTCCTATGGACCACCTAAACACCTCTTATTTTAGTAATCATATATTTAATGTGAAATTAACTTAATGTCCTACTTAAAAGTTTTTGAGATCTCATTATTTAATGATTTTATTAAGAGTTGAAACAAGGAAAGGGATTACTTGAGGTGGCGTTTGATTCAAAAGGCTTTTTTTTGAAAAATTCAACCAACACTAAGAAAAGAACAATCTTTTAATTTTCAACTTACTCAAATACTTTTCAAATAAGTAAAGAAGCTAATTAATTTGTTAGCTTTTTCACTTTACTTGTCCAAGTTAAATTTTTATTCCACTTATTTCATTTGATGTGACACTACTATTCTTTGGGAAGTCCATAATTTGTTTAATTAATTACGACTTTCAAATGTTATTTTAAAAAAAAATTATATTATTGCTACTTCCGGTACTTTTTAAGAAAACTTTCCGCATGTAAATTAAGAAATTATGCATGAATTCATATTGAAAATTTAGAGTTTTAATCCTCATATTATAAATTCCTTCACATAAAATAAAATGGAGGGACTAGTTAGTACCTACTTGGTTTAGAAAAGATATCAGATTACATAATCTATAATTCACGCAATAATTTATGCAAATCTTTTAAAGAAAATTTTAATGATTGATTCTGTGCAATAATTAAGAAATAAATGCAGGGATTATTAATTAATAGAACAGATTTAACAGGTAATTATACATTTTCTAATTTGGATTGCAAAAAATAATTAGATAATAAATTCCAAAATCTTCTTCTTAAATACAACAAACTTATAGGCAAGCGCACAAATAGTCATTCTCGGGAAAGCTATTTAGAGAATAGCCATTATTTATTTTCTCTTGAAATTATAAACTAAAAATCTTAACTTTAGAACAATTTAAAATATTTTTGTTCTCGAAAAATCAAATAAAAAAACTGAAATTAAAGACAAACTAGCTAATTCCTCAATAGCAGCTTAATAGAGTGGCTACCTGATGTCATTTCTATACAAACTTACCAGTTACTAGGAAATTATAGTCTTCATTTTTTACAAAAAAAAGAGCCCAACAAATAATAATATAGCTAATTAATAAAGTATAGTCTAAACTAATATACTCTAGACAAAATAATGTTGAAGTGATGTGCATGTGCATATTGGTCTATAATTTCATGTAGTATGTACATAATGACCTATGTGCATCCACCCCATAAACAGCTGGCCATTATTGAGTCTTCTTTATAAGCTGAGTCTTCCTTCACATATCATTACTCTTTACAGAGAGAAAAAAGACTGAAAAAAGAAAAATGGAAACTTTCTCTCATTTAACATCTTCAAGATCTAGGTCATATGAAAGCTTTTTCCATGATAATGGTATTGAGCCATCATCTAAATTTGAGGAAGATCAAATGGAGGAAGAAGTTTCTTGGATGATTCAAGAAGATGATGAAAATACCAATAATATCCCACAAAATGGTTGGTTCAAGAATATTGAGGAGCCAATATGGCTTAATAGTAGAAGTAATAAGAAGAAGAAAAACCAAGTTTTTCTTGAAGGGTATGTAGAAAATTCAGATGAAGATGAATTAGGGAGGACAAAGAGTTTAACAGATGATGATTTGGAGGAGTTAAAGGGGTGTTTGGATCTTGGTTTTGGGTTCAGTTATGAGGAAATTCCTGAGCTTTGTAATACTTTACCAGCTCTTGAACTTTGTTATTCAATGAGCCAAAAGTACATTGATGAACATCAGAAGTGTCCTGATTCTATGTCTGATACTGCTTCTTCTGGATCTGGTCATGTTGCTAATTGGAAGATCTCTAGTCCTGGTGAGTTTCTATCTTCTTTTTGGAAAAACCCCTTTAAATTTCAGTTCCCTTTTTTCCTAGTATTTGGAATTTTTTATTTGTTCAGAATTATGTGTATATAATAGGAATTGGCAAAGGGTCTGTTGTTGTCTAGTTAGATTGAGAAGCATATATTGGAATTACGAGATGAAAAAGTTTCAATTTTTATAAAGAAAAAGGTAGTCTTTGGTATTGGATTCAGGAATCTTTTGTTCCTTTTAACTTTATCTGCGGCCTGATCATAGTATTTTTCTGGAACAAAAGGACTAATCCCAAACTGGAAACTAAACAACAACATACCTTAGAATCCCAAAGTTTGGGGAGGGTAGTGTATACGCATACCTTACCTCTATCCTTAATCAGACATAGAGGCTGTTTCCGGAACACCCTCTCCTCAGAATCCCAAAATGGAAACTGAAACAAAAAAAGATCCTGTTTTTGGTGTCTGTTTCTTTCTTGGAGTACCTAGATAGATTTTGGGTCTTGCATATATCTATGAAATCTCTCAATTTGTTGCTCAATTCTTGTTCTTTCTTGAACATAGTACTCCACCTTGTACTTTCTCAAGGCATTTTTTCTTACCTCAGGTGATGATCCTGAAGATGTGAAAGCAAGGCTAAAATACTGGGCTCAAGCTGTTGCCTGCACTGTCAAGTTGTGTAATTAGAAGAGAAGATGAAGTCAACAAGTTTATGGAAGAAAAAGCAGAGATCAGAGGGAAATGAGAGGTTGATTTCTTCATATCATGCTATGGAATGCCTGATCTTGAAAAGGGTGCTATGGCCACAGGGCCAAGAAGCTTTACCTGGAGACAGATGGAAAAAAAGAATCTTGTCCAATGATGGGTAAAGCCATGTAGAAGAATATTACATGAAGAGGAAGGAAGAGATGTTTCAGATCTATGATTAACCAACAATACATGGAATAAATCTGACCCCCCTATAACCTGTGTATCATCATTGTTGTATCATCAGTACATTGAAAGTTTGAAGTGAAAAACCATTACATCAAAATCAATCTCAATTCTTCTTCATGTTTCAATTTTGTTTACTATGTATGGTTGATTAAACACAGAATTATTCTTGGTTAGACTACAAATCAATTTCTTCTCCTGTTGTGCCAGTTGCAGATCCAACTAGTTTGGCAGAACCAGTGCATTGGTCGAATCTTATATATGAAGTCAAAACTTTCTACGCGCTTATTCCGATATTTTTTGGATGTTATAGTTAAGTGCTATTATAGAGATCATATATTATAAAAATAACATAAAAATCCTTTTATAGTGAATGATTGTTATACAGGAATGCTGTAACTGGTACAGACCCTTTCAACCGCAACTTTAAAAATTGGATTTGCCACTCTTGAGTTCCAAGAGTACTTACAGACCCTTCATGAACAGGGGAGGATGTAGTTAATAGTAGTAGTAATTATTTATGTGATATTCCGAATAGTTAATAGTAGTAATTATTTATGGGATTTTCCGAATCAATCCGTTAAATAAGTATAAAATAATAGATTTTGAACTCAATAAATCAAATCGGTTGTGGTAAAATCCCGAACTCGAAGTCATTACTGCCTACGTTCATGAACGACTTTGAGACCTTGGATTAGTTGAGTACCAGACTTTGAATCAGTAAACCAACAGCGTGACCCCAATCATCAATGTAGTTCATGTTATGCAGCTGAGCTGCTGGTTTTGTTGTTAATCTTTGAGTCTTGTATCTTCATAGTTCAATCATCAATGTAGTTCTCTTATTTTTTTCGAATTGTGTTGAGTGCGATGGCACGGAGGCTGGAAATTCAGATCATGCTAGAATGAATTGTGTTTGTGTTTGATCTTTTAGAGATAGTAACTTTTAAGAAACAATCCTCTAGAGATGTTTTCTGTGGATTTTTTTTTCTTTTTTTATTTATTTCCCCTCTCCTTTGATTCCCCTTTGTTGGAGCTATTGCTCCTTTAAATAATAACTCGAACCCACAATGTTGAGGTTGTAGGTGTGGCCATTGGAGCAAGCCCTCTTGCCTCTGTTGATGAAAGTAAACAATCAATTAATCTCCTTATATTCTTAGATCCACTACGATTATGAGTAAATATTTTTAACAATATCCTTAAAACATGAACTAGACTATAACACATGTCTATTATTTAAAAGGGCCGATTAGATAGGTTAGTTTTGAGATTTTAAAATAAAAATAAAAAATTAAGGTAGGTCGCATAAGCAACAGCGACCTACTGCTTAGTAATATTCTTTTCAGATTGATTTTCTATAAATTCATTAGATGCCTATGGCAAAGTGAATGGACACTACTTGGAAAGCTTTTATAAGACGGAACAAAAAGAAAACTAGCATGAAGTTCTGAGTCGAATAACTTTTTGCAACTTGAACCTAAAGTATAAATCATTGGGTTGAGTATAAAGCATATTTCACACGTTGGGGGTGAGACGTCCAAAGAAACAAGCAAAAAAGTCTTACTCCAAAGGCAAAAAGCTTATTCCGATTCTAACAAATCATTTGATGGTGGCCACATGATATTATTCACGTTTCTAGAGCATGAGGTCGTCCTCATATTTGGCACCTTGACGTGTAGCACTACGTATAATACTCCAGTTAGCTATTGCAGACACAATTGTTATTAAGATCATCACTGGATGCTTATATGTCAACAACAACATACCCGGTGCATTCCAATAAGTGGGGTCTGAGGAAGGTAGTATGTACGCAGACCTTACCCTTACCCATACCCATACCCATACCCTATCAAGGTAGAGAGGCTAGATGCTTATATGTCGATATACTTTATTTACAAAGCTTCTTCCAACCATCTATTTACTGCAACTTTTATTTTCACAAATTCAATGTGAAGAACGGAGTTTACACAACCAAAGTACATCAACGAGGCAAAAGAAGGGGGTTTTGANGCATATGCTGGAGTCTCACACTCGCCTTATAGAAAGAACAGATTCTTTTTCGATAGTCCTGAAAGATAAAACAGAATATAATTGTTAGCTTAGGTAAAATCCATAGCACTTTATGCAAATGAAGATCAGCACTACTAAAAATCATGTTTCCTGGTCAGACACTAATCCATAAGACTATTTTGACACAATAAGTAAATTCTAAGAGTGTTTTTTGTTCTTTGAATTAGAGTCTAATTTATTTGTCAGCACTGGTTTAATAGTAGAAGACAACCTTCTCTCAAAATTCTAGTTTGTTTCAGATGCATATGTAGTTTAGGGGAAATATCCAACACGAGAAATCCAATTTTTGATAAACCAGTGTGCAATAAAAAAGGTATTGACTACGAAAATTGTTTCATGCGCAAGTAGTTTACGAGGAAAATTTCAAGAGGGCCAGGGAAGTCCAGGGACATTTCAAAGCAACTATTAAATGCTAAACTGAAAATTGAAAAATCGTCGGGAACATTTTCTTCTAATAAAGTTGTAAAGATTCGGTGGAATAATGATGAGAAGAGTATATTGGATTTACCTACATCGCTGCATGTACTCATATCTAATTCAACAAGTATGATGTTAGAGGTTTATGATGCCTATTCACAGCGTATCTATCAATGCATAATAAGGATACAAACTTGCCATTTTTTCTAAATTAGGAAGGAAAAAAGAAAGGGGGAGGGGGTGGAGGGGGGAGGAAGAAAGCTGCAGACCTGGATGCTCAAGAAGAACCCAACAGATTTTGTATGTCTTTCTGTAAAATGAGAAGAGAAATTAGTAACAGACCAAAAAAAAGAGCTGCAGCAATATTTATTTCAATCTGCTTCTTGCATATATTTATTTTTTCTATCTAAAGAACCATAATACTCATGAACCGCAAATCTTTATTATGTTCCTTCTGCAGTATACCACATGATGGAAATTTGGGCGAGATGTAGAGAAAAATTTTTTCCATATCAGCCTCGAAAATACGAGTAACAGTTTACCACTTAAGACAAGAAAAGATTTTCCTTTTATTTCCTGAACACTTAATGACCAGTACTGACAGGCAAAGGTAGAACATAAATGAACAAAAGAAAAACAGTTTAGGTGACCTCAAACTGAAGAGGAGGTGTCCTGGGTGCATATCGTTCCACAATCTTTCCTTCTTTGTTCACAAGGAATTTGGTGAAGTTCCACTTGATAGCATTTCCAAGGAAACCGCCTTTTTCTGATTTTAAGAACTTGAAAAGTGGTGCAGCATTATCCCCGTTCACATCAACCTGTTGAATTAAAAAATTTCCTTAATGTGGATTGTATGGCATTATATACCTCATTCATCTTATGTATGTCTGTGTATTATAGACACATACATTTAACATAACTACGAAGAGAAAGGGGGATAGTTTTGAGTTTTCATCTTAGGAGAGTTTTTGAGTTATGTTGTGTCCCATGGGTAATTCCCGAGCAAGGCTTATAGAAGAAAGAGAGATAAAAGACAGAGACAAGGCACAACTTTTGCAGTTTACGCGGTTCACTGTGATGACCCAAAAGGTCATCACTTAATTTACGAGTAAGTTCTACGTTCCGAGGCCTTAGAAGCCTCCCCTTTCCTCACCTCGATTTGCGTGCACATTCCGGGCACGTAGCTGGAAAGCCATTATGTGAAAATATGTGAAAAATGATGAATTTTGCCTTTAAAATGAATTTAAGTTGACTTCGGTCAACATTTTGGGTAAACGGACCCGAAACCGTCATTTTGACGGTTCCGTAGGGTCCGTAGGAAAATATGAGACTTGGGCGTATGCCCGGAATCGAATTCCGAGGTCCCAAACCCGAGAAATGAATTTTTTAAAAAAATTATTTTATGGAATATTTACGAGTTTTTGGAAATGAAATGTGTTTGAAATTTGATAGTATCGGGCCCATATTTTGGTTCCGAAGTCCGGTACAGGTTTTATATGTGATTTAAGTTGAGTCTGTGAAATTTGGTAAGAAACGGACTTGAAATGACGTGAATCGGACCCTCAGTAGTGAAATTTGGAACTTAAGTGTTCTTGAGATTTTTCTTGGATTTTGATGTTAAATTCGTTGTTAAAGGTGTTAGTTTGGCGATTTGATCGCACGAATAAGTTCATGTGATGTTTTTGAGTTAGTATGCATGTTTGGTTTGGAGCCCCGAGGGCTCGGGTGAGTTTCGGGTAGGTTCCGGGGTGTTTAGACTTAGGAAAAACACTGTTGTTGCATCAGTTCTGGTGTAACCGCACCTGCGAGTCATGCACCACAGGTGTGAGCTCGCAGGTGCGCATATAGGGCCGCAGATGTGGTCCAGCCCTCTCGCAGATGCGGACAAGCTTCCGCAGAAGCGATTCCACAGGAGCGGATCCCCTATCGCAGGTGCGGCCTCAGCGGGCCTAGTCATTTCCGCAGAAGCGGTCAATTTTCCGCACGTGCGCTTGCGCAGGTGCGACCCAAGCACCGCAGGTGCGAGAGTCGGGCAGTGAAGTCTTTTAAAATAAACTTCAGCCTTTTCTCTTTCAAATTTTCACCAAAAATGGAAGGCCTAGGGCGATTTTCTTCCCAAATCATAAGTAAGTGTCCACTAATTGATTTCTTTCAACTCTCTAATGTATTTCATCAACTTTTATCTAAAATCCTAGGATTTTAATGGTAGAAAATTGGGAATTTAGGTAGAGTTAGGGCTTTTTGAACAATTGGAATTTAGACCTCATTTTGGGGTCGGATTTCGAAACTAATTACATATTCGGGCTCGTGGGTAAATGGGTGATCGGGTTTTGGTCCGAACCTTGTGTTTTGACCAAGCGGGCCTGGGGTCGATTTTTGACTTTTTGGGAAAAATGATAAACCTATAATATAGCCTTGGAATTGGATCATTTAGCATTTATTGATGTTAGTTAAATTAATTTGGATTAGATACAAGTAATTTGGAGGCGAGTTCTAAAGGAAAAGCGATGTTTGAGGCTTGAGTTGGCCACGAAAGTTTGAGGTAAGTGTTTGGTCTAACCTTAGCTTGAGGGATTAGGAATTGTGTCCTATTTGCTACTCCCTCTGTTCCAGTTTATGTGAACCTATTTCCTTTTTGGTCCATTCCAAAAAGAATGAACCCTTTCTAAATTTGGTAACAATTTAGCTTAAAGTTACAACTTTACCCTTAATGAGAAGCTTTTATAACCACACAAATACTATGGGCCCCATTTGAACTTGTTTAGGACCACAAATTACAAAAGTCTTCATTTTTTACTTAAACTCCGTGCCCAGTCAAACAGGTTCACATAAATTGGAACGGATGGAGTATGTGCTATTCGTTGAGTACGACGTATAGGCATGGTGACGAGTATCTATACGTTGGTGTCAAGCATGTCCGTGAGTCTTAAATTGAAACTGTTGTGTTCTTAATAAGTACTACGAATGCTTAAGTTGTTGATTATCTGTGTTGGGAAAGAATTATGATTATTCTCGTAGAAATTGCCTATGGTTGAGTATTGGTGCTAGTTGAGGTTTCTTTGTGAAGTTAAATGTTGGCACAAGTTTAGTTATAGCTGATTCCCTTGCCGGGACGTATTTACTTCTTACTATCGAATCCCTTGCCGGGATATTGTTGTTTCCTTATTGTTCCCTTGCTGGGACTCTTTTGTGTTTGGTGTTGAATTGTATGTTGGGATCGGGTTGCACGCCGCAACAATATTATATTTGGATCGAGTTGTACGCCGCAACAATATTATATTTGGATCAGGTTACACGCCGCAACAATATTATATTTGGATCGGGTTACACGCCGCAACAATATTATATTTGGATCGGGTTGCACGCCGCAACAACATTATATTTGGATCGGGTTGCACGCCGCAACAGTTATATATGATTTGGATCGGGTTGCGCGCCGCAACAATAAAGGATAAAAGTGGATATTGATTTGTTTTGTTTCCTTATTCCTTCTGCTGCGAATTTTAAATTATTTTTTATGTTTTCCTCCTGAGTTACTGTTGGCAAATGATATTCCCCTACAGCATGTCCCCTTCCCATCTTTAACTGATAGTTTCCTTTATTATTACTTGCAATATATGTATATGCTTTAACTGCACAGGTTTATTTGGTAGTCTTGTCCTAGCCTCGTCACTACTTCGCCGAGGTCAGGCTAGGCACTTACCAGCACATGGGGTCGGTTGTGCTGATACTACACTCTGCACTGTATGCAGATCCCGGAGCAGCAGCTTTTGGACCTTAGCTTGGGTGGCTGCCTTCAGTCCATACGGAGATCCAAGGTAGTCCTGCAGGCGTCCGCAGGCCCTGGCGTCTCCCTCTATCTTTTCTTCCTGTTTCACTTATGTAATCCAGAAACAGTGTTGCATTTATTTTTCGGACCTTGTTATTAGAATTCTTAGACCGTCTGTGGAGTTGTGACACCAGTCTTGGGTAGTTTTTGATTAAGAAATCATGTTGGAATTATTTAAATGGTTTAATTGTTTCTTCCGCTTGTTTTAAATTTCCGCTGTTTATAAACTGTTGATTCACACTTGTTAAAGAATTAAAATGGGAAAAAGGTAATTTGTTCAAATGGTCGGCTTGCCTAGCTTCCACTAGTAGGCGCCATCACGACTCCAGAGGGTGGAAAATCCGGGTCGTGACATTCACATTGTAGTATGGTTCAACTATGCATCAACAGAAATTGATCAGAAGGTAAAAATTCAATTATTGAATCTTCAGAGGTTAATATTGTTGGGGAAAAAGAAAAAGTACAATCAGATCTCTCTATAACAACATCCCTATGTAACAGTCATTCACTATAAAAGTCAAGTTTTCCTCGAAACCGATTTTTAAGTTAATTTTTATCTCTTTATAACAGCTTTTTACCTATAACAGCAACATGCATATTTATAGCAGAGCGTACTTTGTAAAACTACCTCTCTATAAAAGCCATATGGAATCTCTAAGATTACTAATAATAATTTTAAAAATCTGCGTGCAATTTTTTCCATTGACAAAGTTTTCATCTTGCATAATACATAAGATTTGAAGATGTGCATATAATATCTTTCCAAATAGACAAATGCCAAAAAGTATTTAGATAGAAGATTCAACAGTTAAGCTCTTAGATTGCCTTCAAGGAAAAACTATCGAATATCCTTTTGGTGAAAGTTTAGACACAAATCTGCGCTAACTCCAACGTTATATCGCTAGTATGAGAATGGGATCTACGAAACAAGCTACAATTACAAAGTTCTTCCATCAATAAAGAATTTATTTTTCTTGTAGCTTTAAAATATTTGCCTTGGAGTTCTTTGTACGTCTAGTTATGGATTATTAAAAACGTATTAGCTTTCTTTAATATTTAATTAGTGAAATATGCATATCTTTTAAGATTTTAAATTTGAATAATTTTTATTATCTTTTATATGTAACATTAAAAAGGAAAAAAAAGTAATTCTTGAATAATTTTTGTCTATAACAGTCATTCACTATAAAAGCCAAAAAGTATTGGAACAAACAATGTTGTTATAGAGAGGTCTGACTGTACTTATATGCAGTAATGTAAATTAAGCAACCAAAATGTTGGTGATCAAGTTAAGAAGCAAGAAAGCCTTTGATGTGTGGCTATAATTCCATAGTTTCGCACATTATCTGCCTTGCATTTTATATGCTTTAATGATAAATTATACTTTATTTGCACATAATGGAGTCTATTTTATGTGTAGGTGGATTGGAGATGAAAGTAGAACAAAAGGGATACTTAAACGTTGAAAATGTGCTCGAGAACAGTGAAAATGAGAGGCCAGGCAAAGGCCAGCCAAAGGCCAGGCTGAGGCTGGCGTTAGGCTGGCGACGCTAGGCTTGGGGACAGGTCCAGTTCGAATTTTGAAAACTTATTTCGTCTCCTGGTTTGACTAGGACTTGGTCTACACGTTTAGGTCTTTTCCTACACATAAATAGACCTAAAAATGTCACCTTGGACAGAATTTAGACCGAGAAGAGAAGACGGTCGAGGGAGATCGAGTTTGGACATAATTTAGACCTAAGGAAGCTAAGGAGACCGGGGATTCGACCTAAGGAGGCAAGAATACACTAGGAGCAAGGCGGAGAATTCTTCTACGAATTTTTCACTTCCTTCTTCCTATTTCCATTATTGGTTATGAATTCTAGTATTGTAGTTATGCATACTATTATGACTAGCTAATTTGTTATCTAAGGTTTTGATAGAACCTATTGAAGGATGATTTTCCTGTTACGTTAATATAGATTTGTTGTAGATTTTTCTCTATTTGTTCGACTACGTTTATATTGTGGTTGGTTGAAAAGCTCTTAATCGACTGTGCCTATTTAGTGTGTTTTACTCGGGAGAGAGAGTGCATATTTAGGTAGTTGTTGAACAACATCACTCCTAGCGTATATGAGGGATCAATACGGAGGGTTTAAAAGTGGGATTAGGGATAACGAAACCTTGGTGCGATCCGAGTGAGCCGTACTTAATGCCAGCTAGCGTAATTCGGGAGAATATGTCTAGTAAATTGTGGTAATTACTCGGGAGAGAGTTACGACAGTCAGAGTGCTCATGATTGGTAGAGAAGACTTAGGCAAATTTATAGAAAATATAGCGGAAAGGATTCCGACAATTGGGGAAATCATAACTATAGACCTCCTTAATCTTGTCTCCAATCATTAGCCTTGTTAATTGATAGTTTTACTGCTTTTTTTTTTTTGTTAGTTAATTAGATAAAAATAAACATTATAATCTTTATATTTAGGAAATTGTTTGGACTTGTGTTTCTTAGCGATATTGAACAACTGTAGCTACGACTTAGTTTTCTATGGGATTCGACTCCGGACTTGTAAACCGGATTATATTTGCAACGACCGCTTAGTCCTTTTTATAAGGCATAGTTGGGCGTGATCAAATTTTGGCGCATGATTTTAGCTACACACGTTTGGGTTATCATACAGTAGCTTTTACCTTTTCAAATACAGGGAATTCAGCTTTGAACCTGATGCATACAGTTTCCTGAATCTCCTCATTTGTTCCAGGTTCTTGCCACAAGAACTGGTTACAAGGAAATGCTAAAATTTCAAATCCTGAAATAAAACTTCTATAATTATGTTTCTGACCACGTGATATGGTTTAGTACCAGAAAACTTCATCACAGATTGAAATTGAAGAAACAAACTTGTAAAAATGACTTGCCAACCTTGATCTTTGTACTTCTCATACAGAATATTCAGCTCCTTGTAGTTTGAATCTGTTAAACCACTGCAAGGAAGAGAGATAACTAAGACAATTAAAGCTGGAAAGTTTGCCTCTAACAAACACCCCGTTTTATTCTCTAAATTACAGACCTGCAGTAATTGAAGGCATAAGTTAACACAGTTTTAAAGTTCAATAAAGCAACAAAGCCAGAGAAGACAACAACTTAGATTTGTATTTCTTATTATTCTACAGTTTCAAAAGGCATGCATTCGATAAACTTTACTATTGACCAAAGAAATAGCGGCACTTATCAACTTCACCATGGAGAAACAAATTTTATAATTCTCTTATTCAACAGTATGAGGCAGCTAGTTTCAACTAACTTAAGCTACTCCTGCGCATGTAGTTGTAGACATTGTGATATGTGGTTACCAATCAGCATTAACAGCCAAGACAGGCCAAAGCGAACACTAAAACCAAATTTTTGTTGGTGCATTCTTGAACATGCACTGTACGGTTAAATAGTTACAAGAAGTTTAGAGAACCGGCTATGAACTTCTCTAGTAAGGCAAGCCAATAAAAGGATCCACAAGGACCAAAATAAATTTAAAAGATTAAAATTAGAAAGACATCCTTAAGGAAATTGCCAACTCGCAAAATACAATATTAATCAGAATACAGAAATAAACCCGTAAAAAATACATCGAGTTTGCACCAATTAACATCAACATTGCACAATAAAACTTAAATACGCCCAATAGCAGAATAATATTTTATATATTCAGTCTCCTGGAGCAACTCAATCTAATCACAGTTATTCCCTTGTCGTAATAAGTCTAATTAGCAAAGAAATTGACACTTCTAAATGGAATCCAAGTTCTAAAAGTTTACACCTGATCACAGCGATCAAGCAATACGCAAAGAAACACCCGAGAATAGTAACTAGATCACTTCACTTACCATTTTGATGCAACATTGACAATAAGAAGAACCTTTCCCCTATAATTGCTCAAAGGTACATCATTTCCCAATATATCCTGCATTCTCAATCTCATTAGCAACTTCAAAACCATGCTCTAAGAAATAAAAGAAGAAAAAGTTCCCTCATAATTTGCTAATCTTTGAATACTCAAGCCTATTGAATTCTGGTAATATTAAAATTTCTAATTGTACTTAAGTCATCCAATTATCATGCCAAAAGGTAAGACTTGTGCTCGTAACTAGTTTAACATTCCATCTCAAATTCCTAATAAGTGACTGAAGATCCCAAGTTATCATATAGCACCAAACAGCAGGAACTTGAATTACCAGTCCAAATTCTTCCTATATGAAATCTAATACTTTACAAAATCCAAACTAGACTCACAATAAGTGGATTATAAAATTGAAAAGTACACATTAGGACAAACAAAAACAAAGAGTCAGTACCTGCAACTTCTCATGAAAAGATAAAATATAAAAGTAGGAAATACAAATATAAGACCAGATAACAGCAAATCCAAAGTTCAAAAGCAATTACTACACCAACAACTACACAGTCCCAAACAAGTCGGGCCCGGCTATATGAATCCTCACTGCTTCATTTTTCAGCTCAATTCATGTCATAAAGTTCAAGTTCAAAAGCAATCATGCAATAAAAATTGGATCTTCATTCAATTTTCAGGGGAAAAATCAAAATTAGACTTGAAAACTAAAGAACTAAGAAACCCCAAAAAGTATGTACCTTGACAGTGAAATCATAAATGGATTTGGGGGATCCTTCAGCCATAGTTTGAGGGGAAGAAAAAGAAGTGTATCTATAGAACAAGAACAAGGCAAGAACAAGAAAAAAGAGAGCTGCCAAATTGGTGAAACTCATCTTCTAGTTCTGCCTAAATTATGCATATATAGACAAGAAAGTTTAATGGGGCACACAAATAAGGAAAACCAATAAGATATTGGGGTAAAGAAAGCGAAATTTATGACTTTAGTTAGTTGATTAGATATGGAAAATGAGCTCTTAATTTTGGTGGTTGCTTCTGCCATGTGAATTGCGACTGTTTACTGATTTGGTTTAATGACTAGTGAGGTTGAGGTGAATATTAAAAAAAATCCTTTTTTTCGTTTTGGAGGTACTTGGTGAAATTTAGTAGGTGTTTGGACATACAATAATAACAACCCAATAAAATTCTACAAGTGAGGATAGTAGGCGTTTAAACATAAAAATAATTTTTGAAAAAAATGGTATTTGAAGTTAAGCTAAAAATAATATTTGAAATTTAAAATATACATTTCACTTGAAAAAATATTATAATCTTGTGAGAGGGAAAATAAAATTTCAAAAAAATTGAAAAAACGGTCTTCAAAAAACTTACACAATTTCATAGTCAAACATATTTTTGGAAAAAAGAAAAAAAATTATGGACAAACGAACCTTAAAACTGTGTACATTCACGTGCAATGAAGCTGTAAAAATAAGAGTAAAATTCAACCTTAATATTTAGTAGGTGTTTGGTCCTGAATATTCGATTTGATACCCTGCTACTAATTCTTCTTCTGCTTCCAAAACCCGCGCCACGTCAACGCAATGGAAGGTGTTTCTATGTTGAAAAGGAGGCAAAGAGAACAACAACCTATAGGTAATTGTGAACAATATGACAACAACAATGATGGTAATAGATATTCGAATGAAGGTTTTGATGACCAAAGTGAGGAAGTCCAATATGTCAACAACTATCAAGGGAATAGAGGTAATCAAGGGAATCAACAATGGAGACCCCAAGGTAATTGGGGCAATCAACAAGGTGGCAATTGGAATTACAACAACAATCAAGGAGGCAATTGGGGGAACAATAATTCGGGGAATCAAGGTAATTGGAACGGGAACAACAATTGGAACAACAACAATGGTGGTCAAGGTGGTTGGAACAACAATGGTGGACAAGGT